GGTTCCTGTATAGTCCTTCAGAATTCGCCGAGAATGGAGGGAGGGAGGGAGAATGAAGGTCTTGCCAACAGCCACCTTCCCCTCATCCCGCCCACACTAAAATTTGGCAGCTTGTCTGTAAAAGAAAAAAACCTTTTTTTTTCTGAGGGGTTCAACCGCAGGCAGACTCGGACCCTGTCGCAGTGCGGAGATCCGAATCAGCCCGGGCCTGTCGGACCGTAAAGTCTGTGACCCGACAACCGGCCGCGCTGTGCAGGGTCAAGCCTCCTCGACTCTCCTGATTGTCCTCGTACTGCTCTTTAACTTAACTTTGAGTAAACGGCTGCACGGGTGACGGGGCGGCGGGACTCGGACTGAGACCGTACCTCCCCGAGTCCCGCCGGGCCGCGCGAGGACTCCGAGCCTTCCGAATTTCGGAAGTTAGAATTCAGCTTCGAATTGGCGTGTAGAAGGATATCAATGAGGCGGGCACAGAAGTGTGATGAGTATGTGGACATGCAGCTCGTGATTGCGGGGGAGCAGGGAGCAGGGAAGAGAACCCTGCTGGGGCGACTGGCAGGAGAGCACAGGCCACCATTCCCTTCGATCTCAGTCTCGAGAGCAGCCCGTGATTCGACTGTGCTCCATGTCGAGAACAAGTACTTCAATGCGGAAGTGAAGGTGAAGGTAGTGCATTCCGTCGACGAGGTTCGGGAAGAACGGGGTGAGAAAGAGATCGAGGTGAGTGAGTTCAGGTTCTGATGCCTTTCAAAATATTCTTTCCTGAGTTTTGTTTGCGCTTTCCCTGTGTGACAATCAGCACAGGGCTTGATTCTCGTCTACGACAGCTCACAGGAGGAAGGCTTTCAGTCCTTTCAGCAATGGCTTTCCCTACTTGACCAACTTGACCTTGATCTTCTCATATGTGTGGCAAACAAAACTGATCTCCTCAAAGGAGACCCCAGCGAACTCCTGCAGGATGCTGAGAACTGGTGCATTCTGCACCAGATCGAATTCGTTCACTGCTCAGCACTTCAAGATCGTTTCACATACGATCGGGACAGTGAGGGCCTCGATCGTGTTGTGGAAGCTGTTGGCAATCACACATGGTCAAACTTGGTCAGGAAGGAGGACAAGAAGCAAGCAGGTAAGCCCCTGTGTGTGGAGACGTCTCCTGGGTTTATGACGACGTGCATTCAGGTCCTCGTCTTGAGATCAACTATGACAGGTGGAACAAGTTGCAAGTTGACGAGGAAGAGGAGCGGAGCAGGGGAGAACCAGAGGTGCAACACAGCATTGCAGCTAGTGCTGCAAGTCTAAGAGATTCAGATGTCGTCATAGAGGCGGACAAACCTCTGCAAGAAGTCGTGGATGCCATGCAGCCGACTGAAGCGCAGAAGGAACTGCTCGTAGAGATCTTCGAGATGATCCGACGGCCTGACATGAAGACTGAGAATTTCTTTCTTGACTCTTCAATCTTGGACCAGATTTCAGTCGGGGCGAACGCTGCGGTTCACATCAACCGCGCACATGCCTTGCCGATCGTGGCCCAGGTAGAAAACCATTTGGTTCTTTAAGACGAGTCATTCCTTTCAATGCAGTTCTTATCCACCACACACATTGTCATCAACGAGAATCTACATTTGCTACAACTTTCTGTCAGAAACTTCTTGTGGGGCCTGATGGTGGAGCACCAAGGAGACATCGGACAGGCTCTCCCTATCGCCATTGTTTGGTGGGATGGAATTCCTTACAGTACTAGAGCGTTAATGTGCTGTCGTAGGAGCCTGTTAGAATCTTGTGTTGCTGAAGGAACAAGCCGCTTCTACATCCGGATCATGGAATCCAAAGTAAGCTACTTTCCTACACGAGCAAAGTCGGTAATCTTTGATAGGAAAACGTTGCGCAATGGCTGGAAAATTGTGTTGTTCCTGCTGCACTGAGGTAAATTTCTCATTAGCCGGCAACCAATACACCTGTGCAATCATTTCAACACTCTTGATTAATGGATCAGTCCAAATTTGTTCTATGATTCTGTACCCTTTCACGATTATGTTTACATGAATGCAGATCAATGCAAAAGGGATGTCAGAGAACCGATTACTTTCATGAGGTCTCTTTGAGATGCTTGTGCTTGCATGTAAATTTCGTTGCGTCCAGTTGCTTTCTGGAGCAGAGGAGCAAAAGGAGGAGGGCAATGAACTCTTCAAGAGCAAAAAGTATGAAGATGCGCTGCTGAAATACTCGATTACAATATCCATGATGAAGCAGGTAATGTAAAAGCGTTCAACATAGTAATTGCTGACCATTTTTCCATAAAAGTTCTGGAATGGCGAGAAGGGAAAGTTTTGGTTGGACAAAGCGCGGCAACTTACTTTGGTGTCTCATCTCAATTCAGCTGCATGTGCTTTGAAGGTGAATTCATCAGGTTGGTTTCTTCTTGATGACATGTGCATCAAGCTATCCAAGGAACAGATGCAGACAGCAATCGATCACTGCAACAGCGCGCTCTCTTTGGATGGTAGAAATGCCAAGGCGCTGTACAGGCAACGGCGAGATGCTGTCGATGCTCCTCCTAACAAGCTGCGGCAGGCGAGCTCAGGCCTTTTTGAACTCAGAGGCCGAAGGAGACGCCAAGGACAAGCGGTCAGAGCGATCGGGAGGCGACAAGACGCTCCCGTCACGTGATGCTCTACTGTGTTGGGCCATCCGAGACCTGGAGATGGCGGAGGAGATCCAACCAGGAGACAAGAACGTGGTAAGCAAGCGAAGGCGAGGACTTGCTTGCTTGACGAGATGTTAAGCTCCAAACGCTCAAAGACGCCAAGGCTGAGGCTCGAGCCATCGCTCAGAGAGAGCTTGCCAGCAAGGAGCAGAAACACAAGGAACATGAGGATGTGGATGCTAAGGACGATGACCTTTCTCAGCTGTTTGGCATGCTAAGGTCGTTCCTGCAGCCCCTCGGCTTGTTTGACGGTCCTTTAGGATGGCCCGAGATGAAGTTTCGAACCTCTCAGATGCAGACAGACGAGAGAAGGCCGCAGCTTACATGGAGAAGGTCTCGTTAACCCATTGACTGGTATGTGATAGACTGATGCTGGTTCAGGCGGCAGCGTTGATGAACTTGGACGGGGAGGAGGACGGGGAGGAAGACGATGCCTGATTTTGATACGATTAATTGTACTAAAGAGAAGGAAGAGAGAGATATAATTCTGTACAGGGTGTCTGCTAGTTAGCCATGGATCGCCAAGCTTGTTCTTGCATGGGGCAAACGCAGATCAGCAGACGGAGGATTTCGGCCTTGAGGTGAAGAACAGCTTCAACGGGCTTCTCGTGCGGGGAGGAGAGGAGATTCTGCTGGTCCACCTTGCTCAGCGTCTTAGCGGCAAACCTCAGTGCATGAGAGTTGTCTGTTGCAGTCGGATCATCAAAATGCACGTGCGACCTTGCGAACTGGAGGGCCCAGGCCAACAAGAGGTCTCTTGCTCGCCACTTGCTGCCTTGCGAGCCCGAGGAGGACGCGGAGGACTTGCTGTCTCGCAGGAAAAGCTCCCATGCCCGCAGCTCCTCCATCAGGTCGCTACTTCCGACCAACGGCAGAAAGATCGTCGGTATGATCTTAACTTTCACTCTCTCGTCAACGAGGCATTGCCCGCAGACATGAAGCACCCCTTGCAAGGCGATCCAGACAGACTCATGGGCAGGATGCTGATCCTGTCATGCACGATCAGTCAGATGAAGAAACCTGGCGAGGTGGAACTCACGAGTGTTGTGATGCAGTGATTCAATTCGTTTCGGATCATGTCCACCATATGTTCGTCGCGTCGTTGCCCGTCCTCCAGCCATCTGTACGCACGAAACGCGAGCAGAGAAGTCCGGAAGCTGTGAGCAGCTGAGTCTGAGACATTCAGCCTGCAGAATCTGAAGAGCGAGGTCTCTTCAGTCTCCGACAGGTTCCCTTCTCACACTTGTATCCTCTACCTGCGAACGTCTTCGGCCTTCGCTTCACATTCGGGCACTGACTGCATTCGAGTAGTGACCCAGTACCTTGAGGAACGATGAGATTCCTCGAGCAAGAGAGCATCAAGATATATTCTTGTCTTTCATTCGCACACAGACTCTCACCTGTGCGTCCAAGCGTAGTAGTTCTTGGGGTAAAGAGTCGCAGCTCGAGCTGTTGCTTGGATCTCTTTCTCAAGGAAATCTTCTACATCTGCGAATGATGTCGTTACAGACAGTTGTCAGCAAGAGGTCTAGATATAATCCAACCGTCTGTGCTCTTCAACATGTTTGCAACAACCCATTTCCGGTGTGACCAAACTTCCTGACTCTTGGGGAACTTGGTTTGGACCTTTCATTGCTCCAAGTTCAGCAATCAAGAGAGAAATTCCGATGAATTCTCACAAGGTTTATGAAGTCTATTTCGTGCAGAAGTTCGATATGCTTTCCCCTTATCATTCGCTTCCTTGCGTACATTTTGAGCCGATGACAAAAGGATAATCCGATCAACAAACTCTACCTGTGATTCCATGCTGTCGCGTGATCAGCAACGATGAGGAGGAGTGCGCGGGTCAGATGAATGAGCTGCTTCACATTCGAAGAATCCTGACATGTGGCCCCTGCAAACGACACACTTTGATTGGAATTGCTCGCTGTTGGTATCAAAAGTACGCACAATCGTTCAGGTTCTGTTTCACGAACCTCAGCAGCCTTGGGATGCACCATTGACCGATGGCGAGACGGTCTCCTATCACGACGACGGCTCCCTTTCGTATGGTGAAAGTTTCATCGCTAGAGCATGATGAGCCGCACAGCTGCTCGAGCATTTCTGCCTCCATTGGACCATCGGAGTGGACAAGATCCAACTCTACGAAACTCGCCTCCCTTCCTTCAAACGCCTCATTGATGGCCTCAAATATATCTCGCCCATCCCCTCCGTCTGTCGCTGCTGCTCCTCTCACTCTCTCCCCTTCTTCTTCTCCCCCTCCCTCCCCTTCTTCCTCGCTCTCCTGCATGTCTTGATAGTTGTGCGGCATTTTGATACAGCCAGCCCGCCTCAGATGGTCACAAAGGCGGGGGTGAGTAGAATGGTATTTCAGGGGGTAGGGGGTAGGGGTTGACCAGTGTGTCAATGTGGACGCTGAGCGGGGTTGTCGGAGGATGCCGAGGGCTGGAGGGCATGGGAAGCATGGCAGGTGAGGAGAGGATGGCAGGAGACCTGCCATGCTTGCCTGAGCCCATCAGTGACAGGTGGGCTTTGTGCTGTCATATCTTGTGACAGCGATGGAGAAGAGTTCAAGTAAATGTCAAATGTTTCACATCCCTCCTTGCTGGACCGTTGAAGGCTTTATGCAGGAGCTTGAAGGAGTCCTCAGGACCGTTTGATGACGATGGAGAAGTGAGATGGAGAGATTGCAGGTTTGCCCTCATGCCATGTCCTCTGCGACTGAATCTCAGCGTCCTGCAGCTTCACTTGGATCATCTCCACCGGTCAGTTCGAATCGCATTTGGTTCGCTTTGCTGTTTCTAGCGTTCAAAAAGGGAAGTTTCTCGCTGCCATGGAACCCTTTCCTGTCCAGGAGCTGGTTCGCTCAGGCATGCAGCTCAAAGCCTGGTTCCCCCTGGTCGTCGTGCAGGTCACTCCAGCACAGCTGTCGGGCATGTTGCTCCTGATTCCTCGCAGGGTGAAGAGAATCTTCGCAAGGGAAAGTTCGCGCCGCAAGTGCATCTTTGCTTGAGAATGTCTCGTGCGCGTGATGAACCAGGAAGCGATCCTGCTGTAGCTCGACACCGCGACATTCCTGCAGTGGCAGCGGTGGACAGGGAAGAGCGGTTGACGCAGCAATCGGATGTTGCGATTCCAAGGCACAGAAGAAGCATTGACAAGAGAGAATCTGCCGTGAGAGTCCAGGTTCATCGCCTTGTCACCATCGATCATTCCATGCCTGGAAGTCAGCGCTCCGAGGTCTCACCCATCACCACCCAACCGCCGCCTGGCTTTGTTGATGTGACAATCCTTCAAGTCAAAAACATACCAGTGAGTTATCCCGCAATCTTGCCCGATCTATGTCCAACTCATGATTCAGGTGAAGAACACACTGGATCTTGGTGGAATGTTGTCAGGCTTCATGGGCTCGGTGAGCATAATTGTTCTTTTGTTGCCCACCAGGATCTCACTCGTCTCATCAGGTATTTGGTGATTACTATGTCGAGTGTCGAGTGGGAGATAGCAGATTAAGAACAGCAGCTGCCTCAAACACACTGAATCCATCGTTTCATCATACACTTCGAGTGAGTTTCCCATGTTTCATTATCATACAGTTCGAGTGAGTTTCCCATGTTTCATCATACACTTCGAGTGAGTCTCCCATGAGGGTTCCTCGTTGACGTGTCTTCTTGTACGTCTTACAGCTTCCAGTGACACATGCCCTTCCCATCAAACTACAACTGTTCTCGACATTGTCTGGTGTCTCCAATCAAATTGTAGGTGACGAGCTGATAGGAGAAGCCATCATCGCCGGTATGTTGCAAATCTGAAACAAGCAGGCCGGAAGACACTTTGACGAACTCTACACAGACGAGGCCTACATGAATACTAAGTACCTTCAAGAACATGGATGCGTCGAGTGCGTCCTCCCCTCGCTGAAACCCTGTTACTGATTTTTATTGTACAGGATGTTTCCGAGAAGGAAAGCGGGTTTTTCTCATCCTTGATAAACAAATCAAGTTTTGATCTTGTTTTGAAGATGTCCCTCTCAGAGGAATTGCTGGGCGTGTGACATGCGTGCACGTGAAGTTAGACTTTATGTTTTTATTGTAGTCAAAAGCATCTCACCGCGTTCTTCTCAGGACGATCTATAACGGGCTCGATGCAAAGGCGCTGCGGTGAGTTGGCCGGGCATAAATCGTCTAGCGATCTCTTGACGGTCATTCTGTTCTTGTAGAAACGCGCGACAGATCCAGGAAGAGTATGACAAGCAAATCCAAGAGTTTCAAAGGCTGAAGCAAGAGTACGCGTGCAACCCTAGTCAAAACCTTGCTGCGACTGACTTTGGTATGTAATTAGGGCCAAAGAGAAATTGTCAGACCAGTTGAAGCGAGTGAACATATGAGAGCTTGATATGAAGTTGGCTCCACTGAATGTGAATAAATGTCAAATACTGTGACCGTTCCGTGTGCTCAGTACCGATTATTTTTTAGCTCAGTACCAGTGACTCATTTCTCTAACGGTCCGTACATCCGACGGCCTCAGCCTGTGCCAGCCCCGCCGGCGCAGCTGCCAGAGCGGCCGCCCGCCGCCCGCGGCGCCGGGCCCGGCCCGGGCCCTGACAGTAATTACCGAGTAGTGTACTTGTGCCGGGCCAGGCTGTTCTAGGCAGGAACATGCAGGCGGTGGGTGTAGTGCGAAACATCAAAGAGGAAGGAAGCTTGGCGATGCTGTCTCTCGAAGTGATCCAAGAGGACGAGATGTCTTCAACATCCCTCTCCAAGTTCTGTTCCCCAACCTCAGCCTGTCTCAAGCTATGGGGAAGGAGAGCTCACTGGGCGGTCCATGGAGGGGTGTTACTAGGTGATGTCGTGTTGATCAATGGAGGAAGACACTCCTTGTATAGAACTTACTCTTCAGACTTTTCAATCGTTGGATCATCGTATCTTCGCATTCTATTTCGATTGAAGGATGCTTGCAATCTGAATTCCTCCTCATGCGTAAGCTTTTGACTTCTCGGTGCCGTTCGCAAACTAAACCTTTGTTTTCAACCAGCAGTGGGTGACAGGGCCGGGAATGGATAAGAACGTGTCAAAAGCTACCACAGAATGTGCAAACAAGATCATGGAGTGGGTGAAACAGGGAGGAATCCCTCGTCAGAGTTCATCCCGATCCTGTGGCAAGAGGGCCAGCGCTTGGAATGAGACAAAGCATGTAAAATCTGCGAGGGGTCAAACCTTGCTCGGAATCGGCATGCAGCATCTTGCTTCGTGCAAGGACACCTGTCATGGAGCTTGTCAAAGGATCTTGACAATGCTGGGTCGAAACTCCTCAATCGATGGAAAGCAAGAAATACATTTCACGAGAATTCAAGATTTGTTTCAACACCTTGGGGCAACAGCGAATGTGTGTGGATGCCTTCTCTTTACAAAAGAAGCTGTCACTTCAATCATGAACATTCGAATCGGGAAAAAAGTTTCCAAGGTGCGCTAATAGAGTTCATGATGGCTGAACTAATCAAATCTCGACCTAGATCGCCGCATTTGTAACCAACGCGAACTTTGATTCAGGTGGCGGGGATGGATATGCGGGATGTCACGTCAAGGTCCTAATTGACATCGCACGCTGCAAAGATTTATCGATGACGCTCTCTAGCTTGACGCATGAAGAGTTGTTGAACAGCGTCTTCTTCGTTCAGCTCCATGGGGCTTATGTTGACCTCCAACAGAACGAAGACATCGTCCTCAGCACGAGATCCAACACCGTGTGCATCATCGCATTAGACAAGAGCAATGCAATCCATCATCGTCGAAACAAATCCAAGACACCTCCTGCAGACCCTCAAGAAACGAACAAGCACCTTTGCGACCTGCTGGGAAGCGGTAACCCAAATAGGATGTGCAGGGAATGATGTGACGACTACGACAGGTTGCAGGGCGCGTGTGTGCGAAAGAATTCAGATCCATGACTTGAGATTTCTGTTGGAAGATGGAAGCGAAAGGCAGATGAATGACATAAAATGCTTGCATGAAGTCAGAGAATTTCTTGTGCTGTCCTGCGCCAGTTGCCTTCGAGCAGTTTTCCCCAATCACGACGGGAGTACTTTCTGCCAGTGAGTTGGCTCTACTTTTTTGAGGTGTTTGACCTGTTCACTTGCAGACATTGTCCCTTCCCTGATGCTGACAAGAATCAAAAGGTTTTCACCCACACCTGGTGTGGAGCGTTTGTCGACTTCTCCTCTGGAAGTGTTAGAACGACGGCCGTCATGCACGACAAGGCAATCAATCAAATGTTCGGAAACATCTCGGCAGAGGATGTCTTCTACGAGACTGAGAATGTCGAAGAGATGGATGGGCGAGTCTTGAGCCTGGCTGTCTTGTCTTGCTGTCTATCTCTGACAGCTCGGACTGAGGACGAAGCTCCGACCATCCTTGTTACTCTTGACTTGAGGGAGTCGACTGATCCTAATGGCGTTCTGATTGATAGCATGTGTGAGATCGTTGAGATCAAAGAGATGGGGGGCGGGCGGATTGATTGATTGATTGGACATTTGTAGTTGAAAAAATATGAATCATATCCTACAGGAGAAAGCTGGGAACCAAAGGCTGAGGGCAGGACATGCTGCAGGACGGGCGACGAACTCTTTCCCTTGCATTTTCACGAGTCATCGCTCTCTCCACCCTCGTTTGGCTTCGTCAGACCAGCTGAGTTGATGTCAGCAACCTCAGACACTTCAAACGAATTTACCAGCTCGCGCGAGATTGAATTTCGTCGTTGTCGACCTGCCGGCAGCGAGAGCCGCCAGTTCTACGAGAGATGAAAATGTCACATACAACAAGAACTTTCCTTCGAGCACCTGGATCCGAGTCGACAATCTCTTCTTCGGTTGCTTCAGTGCCGTCCAGAGAAAGCGAGTCCATGTTGAGCAAGGCTGCCAATGACATCACAACGAGGACGCTGCCTCCTGACGGTCACCCGCATGCATGTCAAGATCCTGAAGCTTTCTCGGTGACTTCCCTGGGGTCTGTGGGAGGCATCAGTCGGTCACCAATATTCAGTTAGCAGGGACCAGAGGAGTCTGATGGTTCTCGCCGCCTCCATGGTAGACCGAAGCAGGAGTTCCTAGAGAGCGGAAAGCTTTAAGCTTGATATAATCAACAGAAGCGAAAAAAACACTTGAATGGGATCTCTTGTGAACTTGTTCTTTCACAACAGTTTCGTTTGCCTGCAGAATCGGTCCATCACTGTTGTACACAAGGGCATGCTTCGTTTAAATCACCTTCGCCGCTGAATTCTTCACGACATTTGCCCATCCTTGCATAACTTTCCCTGTGTTCGAAGTTCCTGCCACCCCCGTTGGCTGATTTCTATCCCTGGACGGGAGGGCAGGAAAATCCTCCTGGGTATCAGGGGCTCCCTGTCCCTGCTTAAGGCCATTCAACTGAGCGATTTGTGAATATGAAAGGTTACGCTTGGTCTGTTGTCCGCAGCCGAGCTCAACGGGAAGCCCAGAGGCTTGGCTTCAAAGGCCATAAGCTCCACATTATACTCCAGCCAACTTCCAGGCAAGACCTGGGGCAACTCAGCCAGCACAACGAGCAAGCGAGCTCACCTCAGGCTCGTCATCCACAGGCTTCCGTCCCTTGGATCCGTATCCATACTCGGGCGAGAAGATGAAGTCAGCCCGTCCGCCTACGAGACATCAGCCCATCCGGTTAACAATGACTCTAGGTGACACACCAGCCTTCATCGCCTTAATCCCAACGTCCAGCCCCGGAATCACTTGCTTCGCACCCACGATGAACTTGACTGGATATCCCCCAGTCCGAGTGTTGTGAAAAATTTCCCCTCCTTGAACTTTTCCAGTGAAATGAACTTCAACCTGAAGTAGTTTTATCAGAGCACTTCAGCAGACAGAATTTATTTCACACACCCTTGCCCACTTCTCTGGCTGATATCCTTTTCCTTCGCTGATGACCCGCATTCGCACACCACCTTCAGGTCAACATTAAGTATTCTTTGGATGCCAATTACATTGCAGACCGTCTTCTGTCAAGTTTTGGTACTGGTTTAACTTTTCGCTCTGCAGTTTGTCTCATTCAGAAGAAACGGAAAAGCAAAATGAATGGATCAACAAGCTGCTGGTGTACGAACCTCTGATTGTGACAGAAGTGCCTCAAGCTTTGCAATCTCAAGCTGAAGGTTGCCGTCAGTGAAACAGAGAAAGTATCGTAAAAAGTAGGTACCTTGATTGCTTGCTTGGTATCTCCTTCCGAGACTTTCTTCTGTCGTTTGAGGTCTCGAATCTGCTTCCTCAACTTCTTAGCCTCTTTCTCCGTTATTGTTCCGGAAGCCTGCTCATACTCATACGCGTCCGTCTTTGAGTCATAAGTTGTCGCTGACTCCTTTTCGTCCAAGACAGCATTCCAATCCTGACAAGGGGGATCAGAAATAAGGAGGCCTTGTGACTTCTGTACCATGTTTGAGTCTTTCCGAGCATTCAACGGCTGCAGACCCCGAAGTTCCATCGACTTTTGAGTGTGTCAGGAAGGGATATAATTGGACGAAGACCACCTTTGAGGCAGCTTCCTTCACTTCGGCCGGCTTTTTGAATTCTTGTATGCGATTCATCAGCTTCTTAGCTTGTAATCTGAATCCTCTTCAAAAAAGATCAAAAAAATGGGCATACAAGACCTGCTGAGTCCCAGTTCAGTCTCCATCTCCTCAACAGTCAATGCAGCAACATCCTTGCCATTCAGTCCCTCCTGCACATACAGAATCACGTTATCTAATGTCAACATCAAACGTTTGACCACCCACCTTCTTGACTATTTCTATGGCATTGACTGGTAATTCCAGACTCATCATCCAGCTTGAAACCTCATCGACTCCCATGTCTTCAACGCTGGTGGTAGCAGAAGTCTTTTCAGCTGGTTTTTTCCTTTGAAGAACCTATACGAAAATCTCACTCTGGGACAAGGTGCAAGTTTTTCGCATTTTCTCAGTACTTGAGTTATGTCAAGGTCTACATCCCTCGCAACTTTCCATTGATCGTAGAACAAACCGCGCTGAAAATAAGTGTGAACCGTCTTGTCTTTTCTCATCAACAGCACGATGAAAATTGAAAGCCACCTGATATTCTCGCTCATTGCGTGTATCAAACCCCAATGTGGGTCTCCCTCCTCGTCCACCAAAAGCCGGAGCTCTGGTTGATGCAGCTTCCTCGCTAAGCATACCTGTTCGCATTCCTCCCCTTCCTCTATCCCCTCCTCCTCTGACGTATACAGCATTATCTATCTCTCGCGGTTCAAGATGGATTCACCTTCCACCAAGGTACCGACGTGGCTGGGGTGGTGGTGCCGAAGAATAAACCTCTTCTGCCATAGCTGAAAGTCTTGAAGGGTGGACACCAGCCCTTGCCGCTCCCTCAGATTCTCTGGAAGGTCGCCTTTCGGGCAGATCTAGAAGCAAATTATACACGAGCATGTCAGACGTCATGGCACAAACTTGGTGCATCATCTTGTCGGGTGAAGACAGGTTCAAGGTTATCGGGCCTCTGCTTTGGTTGGTCGTTTGGCTGCCGGCAAATCATCACGATTTGAAGTATAAAGCCACATTATTCACATCCAAATCCACAGCATTTGCCCCTGTCAGAGGTGCTGAAAAAGTTCTTGAGCCTGGCCCGAAGTCTTCCCTCCTTGGGGCATCAAGATCCTCCGACATGAGCCTCTCCAGCCTTTTCATCCTACATGACAATGTTCAGATCCAGAAAGGCAGCCCAATGTCACTCACTTATCTTCGTCGAGACTGTTAAATCGAGTGGGTCTGGAATGCGAGAGAGGCTCTGGCATTTCTCGTGCTGCGATCAAATGGATCTGTCATCGTTCGAAGGCGAGCAGAATTCCACTCTCACTCCATGTCCTCGAATTCCCATCCTCAGGATTCTCTCCAAAATTTCTGTAATTTCCTCGTGATCCCCTTGAAAATCGTCCACGCGAAGGCCTTCCATATCTGCCTTGTGACTGTTCAGCTCTTCGCGGATACTGTTGACCTGAGTCGATGTTAGCACCGCACTCTCAAGAACCATCGAACCTGCAGATGACGACGTGAATTCAAGGTCCAAAGATTTTGAGTCCTCCGCCATCCTTCCCGCATTTGCTGTGCCCTGGTTTGCATCCGTATCTTGACCTGCTGCCTGGTTGGATGCTTGCTCTACCAGAAACCAGAAATCATGGCGGATGCAGACAAGATACAACAAACCTGGCACATTGTCGTTTGGACCATCATTCCCCAGCTCAGAACTAGCATGAAATAAGATGAACTCAGCAGTACAGACTTTCATCCACCTCAGAAACTTTGACGAGAAGACTGTTTCGTGTCCTCCGCCTCGCAGTCTCGAGGCTGTGATCGTTGTGTCAAAAGCACAGCAGACAGTAGCAACTACAATCGCACCATGAAGTATGGGTGGACAACCTTTCGGGGGGTTCGTTTGCTCTTTCATCGCAGCGATCGAGAACATCTGAACGGGTAAAAGCTGTAGCATTAAAATGCAACATAGTCTGCGAATTAGGAATTTCAGAGTTGAATCCAGAAAAGTTGAAGTGAAAATAAAGTTTATCTCACAAGAAGGAGAAAAAAGACTTCATTGCGTAGACACCCCACTTCAGGACAAGTCGAAATGAATTGGTTTATGAACACGGCCAGCGGTGGCGAGTAGAATATTCCCTGACAGGAAGGTCAACCACTTTATCAACGGCCCCCGGCCCTCTTGAAATTTGTCAGCATTCAATTATGGAAGGTAACTCAAGATCTATCGGCTTGTCACCACATATTGATCAGAAATGGATGCGATGGACTGCCTCCAGAAACCCCGCGTGCAATGGATCGTTCGATTCAAATCCCCGTGTGTACACAAAGACAAGAAGTTCCAGACTGAGATTGCTGCTTCACCACCTCGAACTTGTTATCTATCTGCTGGCTATCTCCTCTACATGTATTCTGAAACAAACCCCCTATCTCCCTTCTTCACCTTCCCCGCCATCCTCCTTTTCCGTCCCCCTCCCATGCTCGAGACGCTTCTGTGTGAAGCCAAGCGAGCCCGCCTCCCCTCTGATCGAACTGGGCCGGGGCAGCCAAGTAGGCACCCCCACCCCTTCTAGAAACTGTATTCGTACCCCCACCCCCCCTCGACTTCACGTGCAGCATGGTAGGCAAGCGACGTGCGGCTGGTGCAAGCCGAGGGCAGGAGGAGGAGGAGGAGAGCCTCGGTCAGAACGGAAAGATAAGTGTTGGTGAAGATAGCAGCGATGAAGATGGAAGTAAGGATGACCATGAACCTGAGGGAGAGGAGCAAGAACTTTCGGAAGGAGACTTTGAGGGTGGGGATGATGAAGATGAACAAGGCGATAGCGGAGAGAGCCATCAAGATGAGGCGGAGGAAGAGGAGGAGGAGGAGGAGGAGGAGGAGGAGGAGGAGGAAGAAGAAGAAGAAGAGCAGGAGGATTGTGTGGAAGACGAAGGAGGCGAAGACGAAGAAGATGAAACAGAAAATGAAGAGCACGGCGATGGGGACTTGTGGGGATCCGATGACGAAACATCGAAGAAACGCGATAAGACCAGCGCCGAAATTCAGAAGGAAGAAGAAGATAGAGAAGTGAGGAAATACTTGAACAAAAGCAAGCTGTTGAAGATCAAGAACACGGCTGCTGAGCATCAAGAGTCTCAAGAAGGCAGAATTGTTCCAGAATCAGACTCAGACGAAGATGGACCTGTCATGAAAAACCCTGTGGGGAATATTCCGATGGAGTGGTACAAGGATGAAAAGCATATTGGTTATGATTTGAGTGGCAAGAAGATCTTGAGAAAGACCAAGAAAGATGCATTGCAGAGACATCTAGATCGCGCGGATGATCCAGAACCTTGGCGGCTGGTGTATGATGAAGTCAACGACGAGGAGCTTCGATTGACCGATGCAGAAGTGAAGCTGCTTCGACGGTTGAGAAATGGAAAATACGAGCCTGGTATTGATCCTTACGAGGATTATCCGGTTCCTGAGGACGACCCTGAGCTCAAGATTTTTGGTCCAAGCGGACCCGAACCAAAGTCGAGATTTGTCCCGTCGAAACATGAAGCCAAGAAGATCGTTCGATATGTTAGGATGATTCGTGCTGGAAAGCTCAAGCGAGACCCAGATCCCCAAGATCCTGACAAGCTATACAACTTTGATGTCTGGGAAAGAGAGGATGATGTGGTCCATCGGGGGGCGGTCCCGATACCTGCGCCAAAGATGAAATTGCCCGGACATGCGGAATCTTACAATCCCTCAAAGGAGTATCTCTTGTCTCCGGAAGAGCAAGAGGAGATGCTGAAACAAGATCCTTCAGATCGACCACTGAACTTCATTCCCCAGGCTTATACATCCCTGAAAAAAGTTCCTTTATACCCTAGTCTGGTGCAAGAGCGTTTTGAAAGGTGCCTAGATCTTTATCTGTGCCCTAGGACAGTCAAGAAGCGTATGAATGTCGATCCTCAATCTTTGTTGCCAAAGCTTCCGAAACCTGCAGACCTCAGACCATATCCTAGCGTGCTAACGGTAGTCTATGAAGGTCACAAGGACAAAATCAATTCTCTCTCGCACCATCCCGATGGCCAATACTTTGCTTCAGCCTCCAACGACGGTTTTGTGATGGTATGGGAGGTTTCAACAGGCAGGTGTTGGAAAAAGTGGAATTTGAAACAACCAGTTTCGTACATTTCTTGGAACCCGAATGTGGACTTTCCAATCATTGCGGTTGCGGTAGGTTCTGAAGTGATATTGATTGATCCTAGATTTGGACCACAGGACAATCTGCAATCAGCTGCGATACAAGAGTTGTTATTGAAGGGGCGGGAATTTGCTGCGTCAAAGGGATCGAAGGAAAAGAACGAACTTGTCAAGTTTGAAGACGTGGCAAGCGCAGAGAAAGAACAAGGTCTTCTTCTCCGGGTCAAGCACGCCAAACCAGTCACTCAAGTGACGTGGCATCACAAAGGGGACTATTTCGTCACTTTGTCGCCTCAAGCAAACACAAAAGCTGTACTGATTCACCAGCTCTCAAAGATGCAAAGTCAAAATCCCTTCACCAAATCCAAATCTGATACGCAGAAAGTTTTGTTCCATCCAAGCAAACCTTTTTTATTCCTTGCTACTAAGAAGCATGTGAAAGTGTACAATCTGCAAAAGCAAATGTTGAGCAAAAATCTTCTTGGAGGGTTTAAATGGCTTTCGTCCTTTGATATTCATCCCGGAGGAGATAATGTTGTTTGCTCTGCTTTCGATCGCAAGATTTCTTGGTTTGACATGGACCTGTCGGCGAAGCCTTACAAAACAATGCGATACAACAACACGGGACTGAGGTCAATAACCTTTCTCCTCGTTTGCTTCTGATGTTTAGTTGCAGGACGGTCGCATTTCACAAGCGATTGCCACTTTTTGCAGCAGGAGGCGAGGACGGTGTTGCCTACGTGTTCCATGGCATGGTAGGGGATGCCTGAGCTGTTGATGCCATCAGCTCATTCGTGGGCAGGTTTACAACGACCTCATGGACAACCCGTTGATTGTGCCGCTGAAAAGATTGCATGCGCACAAGAATGATGGAATGGATGGAATACTGGACATTCTTTTCCATCCTACTCAGGTACACCTGAAACTGCTGTTTGAAAGCTAGTTGTGATGAGAGTTTACAGCCCTGGTTGTTTACGTGTGGCATCGATCACACCATTAGATTGTTCACGGACAAGTAAATTTAATGGCACATCGACAAGATCTTCGACAAAACAAACCAATAAAAGAGTTCAAATCGTCTCAAATCGACGCTCCGGTTATTTATAGGTTGTTACATACATGGAAACTATTCCCGAAAAAGAAAGCCAAGGCGGCGATTCGAACCCCTTGCTGATTTCGCTTTTGACGACGCAGCACATGAAAGCATTCTGACATCATCCCCATTTCATAATGCTTTCATCCAATCAGACGTAGCCTTCAGTGACGCCCGAGGCTCCTCCAGCCTGCCCTTGAGAGGAGCTCTTCTGCTTTTCATTGTCATTCAGCGAATCCGGAATGTCATGATAGGTTGCATCGCTTGAAGGATTAAGTTGACTGTAGCCAGCAGCCATTGCTCCTCCCAGGATACATATGGTGCATAACGTCGTGATGAACGATATTACGCAAAGAACCACCGAAATTTTGAAAAGAAGTAGAAGGCTAGAATAGTGGATATCATAATACTTTTCACAATCTCTTGTCATATTGACCCACAACAAGAATCCCCATGTCCCGGTGAAGAATGGGATGCAAGATGTGATTATCATCAAGGTCACATTCCTGCCAAATTGAGCTTGGATCAAACTTATGATCATTCCAGTCACTGGGACAATTATCACTGCTGTGAGAACAAAAACCCAGATATTGGATTCTTCAGCACAGGAAACATAATAAGCGCTGGAGCTGTCGAATACTACCCATACAGCCCATACGATAACTGTAATGCGAGTGCGGAAGTCAGTAAACGAGTGGCCGCTCCACAACAAAATACAAATACGCAAATGAGAAACCAGAAATGCTTGATGTTGTCAAACCAATCATCATCGTCTCTTCAAATTGGCATGGCAAGCATGACACAGAGAATGAGAAAGCTAAATCAACCCCTCCAGCAGCGAAGGTCAAGTTGAGACAAGGGTAGGACTGTGATGAAACGGATAGAGACAAGCTTACACACAAAAGGATGGAGAGGCGAGAGAAATAGAAACTTACATGCTAGCACAAGGCAGAGGAAGATGCAGCTGCAACATAAGAGGCACATGAAGGCTGCCCCCATCGCAGGTGCATCTTCTTGGCTCATCCTCCCCCCAGCGTACATTGCGAAGAGCCGCTGTCGTGTGGCACTACCCCTTCAATATCCCACGCAGGTACCCCCTTGTGCCAATACCGAGTTAACTAAAATCGATCCTTATTCTCGAGTTCGCCTCAGCTCAGTTGCCGGCTGAGTCCGATCACTGAGGGCCCGCCGATCTGGCATGGCACCGGTGACCCGGACCAGCCTGAGTCATGCCGGGCGTGGACCGTTTGAGTAGCCTTGAAACTCCCACTGAGTCCGGGCCGCCGTGAATCGTGACTACAGTACTGTTTTCTAACATGGCTGCCTGCCCGCCGCCAGAGTAGCCGTCAAACGGTTACTACCAGCGGCGCCGGGCGGAAGTCCGGTAGACAGGGTTGGCGGCGGGCTGCCCAGCGCCCGGCCCGTAACAGCGTGTGACAAGGCGGGCGGGCGGTGCCGGGCCCTCCAATGAGCCTAACAAAGAAAGACAGTGAGAAATTATTTAATATCTTGAAATGAGCTGTCCACTTCTCTGAGATACCAATAACTCATGCGCGGGTTGACTCGGGAGTCTGTCCATCATAGTACCTTCCCCAAGCCAATTCCCGATTGCAACCTCCATGCAGCACACACACGACATTGAGCGCGAGAATGATGGTAAGAGTTGTTAGCCAGCCTGTGACGCGTGCAAGTGCTGATGTCTGACGGAAGTTCAAGTGTGCTGACAACAAGTATGCTCCCATGGCGCATGACATTGCCCAGCATCTCATATCTGCGCTTGAACAAGAACTTTCCCCGACGACTTGAGGGATGATGCGAGGCCATGCCTTAGGATTTCCAAAGTGCATGCGATGCAAGTACATCATTCAAGGAAAGAACAGGTTATCACCTGTACTGATAATAGCTACATTGGCTTTGGGCTTTCGATGTACTGAGACCGCGTCAGAAGCAGCTTTGCGAAACAGTATCCCTGTGCATCGCAAATGTTTCCATTACAACAAGAATGTAAAGGGTCACTCCAATCCAGAGATGGTCTATGAAGATTGCATTGGTAGTGAAGGAGGATCAGACAGAAAATATCATACTTTATCAAGAGTGGAGAGAAATGCCATTTTCACTAACGTCGCAACTGGAATGCCATTATTCACGAGTGTTCTTGTCATCTCAGGGAGTTCATCGCCGCTCATGTCCAAGGTCTGTTATCTATCGCCACTGATTTTCACACAGAATGTTACAATTCAAGATATCGGAAGCGAAATCTGCGTCACTCTCAACCAATCTGTGGGGTTGGTGCCACCAGCTTTCCCAAACGTTAGCACCGATACTTCCAACTTGCAATCATCGTCACAAGCATCACTCTTGTCCATCCTCCGTGGGTTCCCTTTGTGTCACGAAAGAAATTGTATCGACCTTCAGGTTCTGAGATATGATGCTTGGGGGAACAAAGTTTCAGGGGATTGGTCTGTGGATATTATCCGTGCAAGCTTGGGTGGCATGCCTCTTGGAGGAGGTTTGAACTCCTCTCTCGGCCCGGATGAATGGACATCGTACAGTGTAGAAAATCAGACATTTGCGTATGGGCCCACGACTTGCAAGACATTCGAATGTCCAATAACTAGGGTGGTGTTGCCGACCAGGAGTTTCAAGACATGGATGATAGTTGATCTAAACGACTCACCAATAGCAAGAGGGAGCCCATTCTTGGTAGAAGTTAATCCCGGAAAATTATCTAATTTTGCAGTAGACATTTCATATGTTGAAGGTGCTGTGTCACCAGGACGATCACTGTTTCGTATGTTTCCAGTTGATGAGTTCTCAAACAACATTGAATGTGGTCATGATAACACTTGCTCACGGCTTATTGCATATGAAGTTCGTTATGTTGCAGTGAGTCAAGTCAGCTGTTTTGAAGACAATCATTTCATTGCTCCTGTCAACATCGATTTACAACGCTTAACATTCGTGTTGGACACAAATTGCACTCGAGGGAGCTGCATTCAGTGTGCTTCTTGCAATTATTACAATGGAACTGCGGTTCTTGGAATATTTGAGACAACAAAGGCTGGTGTTTGTTTTATTGAATTTACTTATCATACCAAGAGAGTTGTGATTCCTCCAAGTTTCAGTCAAAACCTGTTCGGAATGCACCCGCCGGCTGGTAACCTGATGTATACTATCAATGGAGGCGAGCCAAATGCGTCAAAAACGTCTCTTATAGAGTACAATGCGAACAATACTCATGTAATCCTCGAAGGTATTGCTTCACCAAATCGCACAATTCGTAGCGAGATCATCCTCCGGGACAAGTACGGAAATTCAGTATTCTTCGATCAAAATGTTTTCACGATGTCAATAAGAAGTGTTCAGAATGTCGATAGCATCATGGTTGATATTGTTCCTCATCTTTCACTCAAAACGTACGAACTGTTATGCACGATTACGAGGTCGGGAACATATTTGCTCGATTTAAGACTGCTAGGCTCTTTTCGCTACATCCAAGGATCCCCGTACAACATTTCGATTTTGCCTAGTTCTCCTGACATTGCAAACACTATCATTTTAACTTACACAAATTCTACTGTCAATGGCACGTATGAAATCTGCTTTTTCCAGGCCCGTGACACATTTGGAAATTTTGTCCCATCGTCAGATCCTTTCTTTTCTGCATCAAATTATCCAGGGATGTCTAGTTCCAATGGTGCTCCAGGCTTTTGGATCTGGGCTGAGTATTTGGATTCCAAGAATCCAACAATCTCACTTGATTCCTCAGGGTTGAATATTTTGAAGTGCCCACAAGCATGCAACGGTCAAGACCCTGGATTCGGATCATTTAAGGCTGGATTCATTCCAAACAGGCTAGGAAACTATTATGTTGAAATTCAGTTCTGTGATCCTCGGACGCACGATAGTCAAAACACGTGTGACAAGAGAAGCTACAACTTGTCAAGTTTACAGCCACCTGAACCGCCAAATTTCTGCACAGATCTTCCTGCAGGATCTGTTGGTGGAGCTCGTTTAAATTTTGCATGCAGGATACACGGAATGAATTTTCAATTTACTTCCGTTCCAGGCACTGTGAACGTTCAAAACAGTAAGATTTTTTCTCCTTCTACGTTGTCAGTGGGAGTAAGAAACACTGTATTCATCAATGCTACTGATGCCAGTGAGAATACTCTTTGTGAATATATGTTCCAGTCCTTTGATATTGAGCAAGGAGTCTGCTCATTTGATTCGTCTCGGCGTGTCCTGTTCATTCCTTTTTGTCCCAACATCACTGGAGATTATACATTGCTTGTGCACATTGATGGAATTTTGCTTCCCAACAGTCCCTTCAAACTCTCTGTTTTGACGAGCTACAAATTGTTTAATTCGACTTTCTCCGTGGCCTCTGGGCGTGGAATATCCTACGCAAAAGTTGGGGATGAGAACACTTTCACTCTTTATCTTAGAGATCATTTTGGAAATTTGATCCCACCTGATATTGAAATTCCTCAACAAGGGTGGCCGTTTTACAAAGAGTGTGGGTATCCATACAAAACTTTACCGAGCGGGGAACCAACGTCAGGATATGGACTGAGCACCTGTAAATTAGCTTTCCACACTTATATTTTGAACTCTTCGCTGCTTCCCATTCGACCAATTCAAGGATTTTCTGTATACGAGGTGAGTCCTCAGACAGATGGAGGAATACTCATCAGTTATGGTGTTGAGGAAACAGGATTAACGCTTATGTTCATCCGATTTCTCCCTTTTTCAGATGCTGGTTTCGTTTTGCATAATCAGAGTGGGTACTTGTCTTTAGCTGCCATGAACCAAAGTCGGGAAGGTCAGATCCATGGAAGTCCCTTCCAAATTTTGATATCTCCTGGTGCATCAAATCATGCTATACCTGGTGGTCCGGCATTGCAAGGTGGTGTGATCGAGGCT